TAGTTAGAAAAGCTGCATAATTTGCAAATGGCCTGCCATTACTAAGAACTGCAGAGATTCTAATAGAAAGCTGGAAATTTCAGAGCTTACAATGGAACAAATAAATAAGGAATCCATATCTCCACATCTATTCCAAAAAGAGGAATATCAGAGCACAGAACAGCAGAAGTCTTGATCAGGGCCATTTAAATAGCTCTCATTTTGCTATTCCTGTCTCTCCTTGCTTTAAAAGCCTTCCAGGATCAATCTACAGCTAACATTGTGTGGGCAACAGCAGAAAGGAGAACATGCATGAACATCTGAGTACACACAAGGAGAAAAGCTGAGCAAGACTGGGAGGTAGTTGGTGTTGAAAACATTCCTTGATGCACCTGGCTGCTTTTGCTCTTTCTCCCTTTATTCCACCCTCTATCTCCCAGCTAGGCTTTTCTCTCCCTCTCTTGCACCGTCCTGATTTACAATGTTCCCATGTTCCAGGTGACTCATAGAATCATAGAATCATAGAATCGATTGGGTTGGAAAAGACCTCCGAGATCATCGAGTCCAACCCTTGGTCCAAATCCAGTCCATTTACTAGATCATGGCACTCAGTGCCACGTCCAATCTGCGTTTAAAAATCTCCAGGGATGGTGAATCCACCACCTCTCTGGGCAGCCCATTCCAATGCCTGAATGTTATCCCTAGCATAACATAACCCCCTGACAGCTGCCCCCCTCCCAGTCTGAGTCCTGTGTGAAAATGGAGGTCAAAAACACAGTTGGAACTGGACCATAATTGAAAATGGCCCATCTGTTCCTCACTCCCATCGCACCAAGCCTTGCCCGTCATCACCCACAGTGACTCTTGGAGCTCTAGCCTGCCTGTTTCAAATCATTTGAGCTCAGAGGAGCTGGAGATGGCTGAGATATATGTACTTTTTAACACATTCTGCACAGCCAAATGCATAAAGACGCAGATGTACTTAGACCATCTCCAAAGTCAGCTTCTGTTTGGCTCAACACTGAGCTGGGCAAGGATGTCAAACATGGCTAAAATGTGTGCTCGGTTAAGGCAGGGGCCAGAAAAAGCCTTTAGGAATGTCTAGTGGGACTGATTTCTTCCTCTCTTTGGTGTTGTTTCTTCCAGATACCTTAATATGGGGATAGACAGCCCTTGATCTTGTGATGGAGACTGCCCTGATAGGAAATGTGTTGTGTGCCTCTATTTGAGAGGCCCCAGGTTGGTCAGGACAGAACACCACGTGTGTGGGGTGATTCTCTGGAGTGCCAGAATCGAAGTGGAATCTCTCAGCATTGTCCATTCCCTGCAGAGGTTTTTCGGTTGTGAGTCTTGGCAGCACAGCTGGGGACAGTGCCTGTTTCAGACTATTGCAAGGTGGATCAGGACATAGAACAGCCACTTTTCTCGATTTGGTGGCTTCTGGACTGCTCTATGGCAGCAAGGTCAGGGGACTGCTGGTTGCTGTGGGCAGGACTGTGAGGGACCTTTCCCATGTCCTGCATCGAGAAGGAAAGCAACACTCTCTATTTGCAGAATAGAAAGATTGTTCCTCTTTTGTTAGTGGTAAACTGAGTAACTCAATAACAAAGCTTGTTCACTCGCTCCTGACACTGAAAAGCTTTTCTTTCACACACACAGTCACGTCCTTCCCCACCTCGTCACCACATAAATACCACTTTGTCCCCAGAAAGTTCTTTCCCTATCTCATGCAGACACCAGGTGCCCAGCTGGCACCCCAGTCCCTGGTAATACTGTACTCTCACGAGTCCAGGACAAATATTTAATATCATTCCAAGGGACAAAGTATCAGGGCTGTAGACATAATCAATGGGAGAGCTGCCCAGAGCCCATAGGGCACACCAGTCAAAGGATCAGCGGGGCAGGACATCACTAATCTTCTCCATAGAGACACCCAGCAAGCCAATCCTTTTGCTAGGAAAGGCAGTTTTCCCTACAAAGTGTTGTAGCAGTCACAGGTTATTGTGATGCAGATGATTTAGTGACTGCATAGTGCTAAAGCTTTCTGGAGCTGATGGGATACCCAGCAATCCTAAAGGTGCAATATGAAAGAACCCCAAACACTACAGCATGGACATGAGAAGTGTCTTCCTATCTGCACGGAAGATTTGCAGGAAGAGTGGCACGACGGCACACATCTGACCACCAGAAACAGCATGTGCTCCAAAGGCATACAAAGCTGATCTAGAGACTGAAATATGTTGGCATTTTTGACAAAGAGACCACAGAAGGAGAGAATTATCAAATTGCATTCCCTCAGGTCGTGAGCAGGTTAAATTCTAGAGGGGAAAAAAGGACCATCATCCATAAGCCCACAGTGCCACATCTTGATGAGTTACCGCATTCTTTCCTGACTGCCAGGACAAGAGAGTTCAAAAATAAGTGGTAGCAATTTCACATTTTAATTGGCACAATTGTAGAAAATGCTCCTTGGCAAGTATCAGGTATTATGTCTAACAGACCAAGCATTTGTCTGCAACAGACTTCCTTTGTGTGACAAAGGAATAAATAGACATGATGCTACCTTATATGGCCTAAGCGTCACCTTGTGAGAGAGATAAGTGATGACTGTGAAATGAAGCTGAAGTTGGCAACAATAATGCAAACAAGAGGATACCTTCAGCATGAGTGGTGACCCCACTGCATGAATAGCATGATTCTGACTTGTAATAAAATCCTTTGCTATTGTTTGTGTGTGCATAAAACACCCTTGTAGTGAAATACATACTCGTGTTCTCTCCGAGAAAACTGCAGAAGATAAATTAGAGCCCTCTCATGACTTAAAGCCAGAAACCTGCAGACAGAAACACTGAAAAGAACTGGAGGTCAGTTCAGTCTCTGTCTCTCAAAGTTATACAGCACAGCTTTAGCAACCACTTTTTAATGATGAGGCATTGAATATCCACTGGGATGGTGCATTGCCCCCATCCTGAGAGACGAAAGTGTTGCTAAAGTTGTCTCTCAAAATCAAGCCTACATAATGCCTTCCTTCAGATCACTACTGTTTACCCCATCAGCATGACTAACCCCTGCTTCCATTTTTACCTCTCATGTACTTGTGTACTACTGTACCTGAAATACTGTTTTAAGTTCCAGGTCAGCTCATTCATTCCCCACACTCGTTGTTCATCTTCAGGTGCTTTTCTGATGTTTTACATTCAGACTGTACATCACATCGTTGCTCTTCTTTTTAATGTCTGTAGCCTTTCTATACAAATTCCAAAGTGAAAAAGCCAGAGTAGTACCGATTTTACTCCCCTTGCCCAGAAGAGTGGTGTGACTAATTTGTTTAGAGGTAAGTCAGCACCCTCTGGTGTTTCGTTAGTGTACTGCAAATTTCCTTACAGATAAAAGGACTAATTCCTCACAAAACCAAGAAAAATTCTGTGAAGACAGATGCCTAAGAGAGTAACATGCAAACTTCTGGGCTTATTGGAAGATAGAAGAAACCTTGCTTTTTTTCCTTCTTCTCCTCTTAAAGAATAAAATACCGAATTTAGTATTTTCAACTTTTGTTGAACAAATGCTAAAAGCATTGAACTCGGCAAATGACATTCCTTAAACAGCTTTTTTAAATTATTTTTTCCTAGCAATTATTTTGCATTATGCAAGAGCCACTCAGATGCAAGTTTTGAAAACTTTCACATTATATTTAGTGCATTAATTGCTTTTAAAATTTTCGTTTTTTCTGAACTGGAAAGCAAGAGGGTGTCACTCAAAAGCATTTCTGCTCAGCATGGGCAGCTCCCATGCCTTTGCTTTACACAAATTAAATTCTGGCTCCTCTTCAAAATGCACTAAAAAGCTATAACATCGCTGAAGATGAGGTTGCTGGATTTTTTTTTCTTCAGGATTGGACTGCAGGCTCAAATAGATTAAGCAATATAGGTTAAGTAGAAGCTGCTACTAGATACTATAAAGTAGTTCAAAGCAGAAGTAAAATAATGTAAATACACATATACACTTTTCTTTATGGATGTGATGTTCCAAATTCTCTTCTCTACCTACAGCCAAAAGCACGGTCTGCTTACCAGAAAAGGTAAACTGATGATTACCCGAACCACAAAGAGTGCAATCATATTTTACTAGCCTCATTTTTCAAGCTATTCTAGCTCATCTGGAACTAAAGGAGAGCAGATCAAGAGTTACACTGCACATCTTTATTTGTATATGTCTGTGGCATTGTAAAATTAAATCTTTTGAATGAAAGCTTGCTTGAAAGGAAATCTACTGTGAGATTCCCCTGTTTTAGCAGTGATGGTAATTGGTGAGTGATCCCAGATAAAGTTAGGGTCAAAACAAAGGTATTTGATGACTCAGTCATACCAAAATTTTGCCAGACATGCACAGTAATGGTGGAAATGTGAATTTAAGAGTTATTCTCAGAAGGAAAATGTTACCTTCTGGCCCCCTTCATTCAGAGTCTCCAGTTACTGTCCCTGTGCATGAGTACAGGTAATCTTCACTGGGTTGTGTCTCTTCATCCCACTCCTCCCATTTCACTCCACTTCAGGAAGGAATCATTGCTACCTAAATAAAATGGTAAACTTCTGGAAGTGTAGAATAGATACTGTGTTATGAGCTTGGCAGAGCCCTCTAGAATGTGATATCCCTCAAACCTCATCCCCTTCTAACAGTGCAAACTGTTTTGCCAAGTCCTTTTCCAATTAAGAACCAAACTTTGGAATTCTGAAGTGAAAAATTCATAAATTAATGTTTTTTCTAGGACTGCAGTCCATCTCTAATACCACACAGGCACAACCATTTACAAAGTTCTGCTGCAGCTCAATGCACTCACAGCAGAAAATGCTCATTTAGTACATAATCAATTTTTGTCTTACACTTAGGTAATAAAGGCTGTTTATTTGTATGATATAATTGAAGCCAGAATTTGTAAAAACATGAAGATTTTTTGCTTCTGTTCAAAGCTACTGTAGATGTTAATCAGAAAGATCAGTGATGTTTAAATACAGTATTCATGCTGAACAATTAGCTGGTTTATGCCAATTTGACATTTTATTGAAGTTACAAATACTTTGATATCCAAAGACTGTGTAGTGCTTCTCCAGATGCTTATTAACCAAAAGAATTCACAGATGTTTGCTTATCTTTCTGCTGAATGTCCTCCAAAATTAGTTGATCCTAGAATAAGAATACAAGTACAAATGGAAAAAAAACTTGGTGAGACTAAAGGAAAACTTTATTCATGTAACTTATTTCGGGAACTTTATACAAGGAAAAGAAAATTATAAAAAATTAAAAATACAACCTACATAATTTGATGACAACTTTTCTATAGCTATTTTCATGAATGTAAATATGCTCCTTTGTATTTATATAAAAAATCAGGTTTCTCTTTCCATAGCAGCATTTTTGTCATGTTCCAATTTCAGCTATGCAAGGCAATTTCCAAAGCCATTGTTCTGTATATGAACTGCAATTAACTTGCAAACATATAGCTCAATGAAAATTAATCCTTAAGTTCAATACAGCTTTTTAAACTTTAATTTCTCCTAATGTAGTATTTCTCCTACATTATTTAGAGATTCTATCAGGTTCAGGCATTATTTCATATGCTGTAACACTGCCCAGAAATTTGGCAAGTAAAACAATTACGAGGTGAGCTTCCACAAGCTGTGAGCCTTCATAACTGACCAGGAGTGAATTTCTTATAATATTCTTATTTTGTTTTCATGAAGTTTCATGAACTCAAAACTGCTGTGGATGGGTTACTCTTGGAATAGAAAGATCCCGTTTATTAATATGGACTAAAAAAGTGCTTTAGGGATGAAAAAAGTTTTAACTTGTGATGCAAATTCTGCAATACAGAGGATTAGGTGTGCAAGATGCAACTGGTCAGGGTGCTAAATAACCTCATCTAGGTACTTTCTCAGAACCAGGACTGAAAAAATCACAGGATTGAGAAAATTACTACTGAAGTCTCTGATGGGACAGTAGGTAATTATAAAAGAAATAAAGTTAATATCACAGAATATGGGGGAGAACACTAGCAACAAATGTTCATAATTAATATCTAAGCCTTTCCCTCCTAAACTGAAGATACAGATCACATGACAGAGAAGTAACACATAATGAACAATATTATTTATAAAACATAAAAATAAAATATTAGGAAATGTTTTTGCCTTAATTTTCTTCCCATCATTTCCTTATCCTTTGTTTTTTTTAGTCTTTTTGTTGTAACTATGCAGAACATCATCTTTCTACTTCTCTTGCTTTGCAGGAGAAATAGCCTTTACTGTCCTCTCACCTTTCTCCTTTGGTCCATCCTGCTTCCTCTTTTACACTAGTATTTTGCAGTCTTATCCCAATTCTTCATAAATTATTTACTCTGCTTCCTCTATAGCCTTTGCTCTGTCCCATGCACTGTTCTGTTCTCCTTTTCCACTCCCAACCACTTTAACATTCTCACCTTTTTCCCTATTCCTTAACACATCTTCCTTCCTCTTCTCTGTCTCATGCTCTGCTCATTCCCTATTCATTGCTCATTTTCAGAATGAGTTCACTGATTTGTTCATTTCCATTAACACTCCCTAATTCCTAGTAACTGGATGACTAATACTTCACTTCTTACTCTCAGAGTACTGCAGTTTCCTTCTATTTCCTTTTTTTCCCTGCTGGATGCAGTGAGGTGGCAGCTCTCACCCACGTTCTCAATGTGCTCTTCAGTCATGCAGGAACATTCATCTTTTTCATTACAGACATTTTTTTACTCCTTTCCCATGTGTCAACTAAACTATTCTGCTTTATCAAAGGACTCCTGTTGAATATCCCAGTCTTGCTATGACTCCCACTGCACTTCCTCCACTCACATTTTTCTTTTCTCTACTCCTTAACCTGAGATTCGTTGCACAATTAGTTTTTGACAAATTATTGTATCTTTTGTATTCTTTGGAAGTTGTGGAGTTATTTTCTAGAAAACATTTATGGACATTATCAGATTTAAATCTCTGTTAAAATATTCTGAGGTGAAGCAATAACACATTTTGACAGCAAATACTCTACTGGAAATAAGACTAAGGCAAAATGCAATCATAAAGATCAGCACTTTTCATATTTTGCTGATAGCCTACTTCCAATTTTGAAATATCATCTTAATGTTGCTTAATTTATTTCTAATCTACTGTCTCCTGTAAATAAAAAATTAGCCATTATGCTGAAAATTTTTCAGGAAGTGTTAAATGTTATCTTATAAATATACTTGCCTAACTGTTGCCTTTGCAGAAGTCCAGAGATGGTGATTGGATGTCTTGCAGAAAGCTGTGGGGAAGGTGATGTAAGTGGATACAGCTGAGGGGTTCTTAAATCAGAATTAGCCCATGATCCCCTTCTACTACTCTGTGATCCAGATGATGATGGACATCCATTAAGTGATAATCCTATAGGTGTGGATCTGTTGATGAAATGAATTCCTGCATGTGATTTGAGGTTGGTGTCATAATAATACCAGAGATTTCAAGATTACCTAAATTCGCAGTGCTAATATTTTAAAAGGAAATATTACCAGAATGACATAAAAAATTATATGAGAATCAAAGATGGAAAAAAATAGATACTTTGTTACATATATTTTAAATTTGTCTTTGCAAATACCTAGGAAGATACATTTGGTTTAATGATTACAAGGAAAATTTGCTTTTTCTGGAACCATTTGAAGTTATTTCTTCATGTTAATAATTCTCACAGTTTGAGATATTTTCAATTTTTAAATGAAAAGCCTGAAACACCTGCTCCAGGCCACTGAAAAGTTTGGGTTACTCAGAGAATAGCTCTTGAGTAAATACTGTGCTGTCAGCTCTGATTTTTATAAGAACGATAAAGCAGAGACACTGTTACACTTTCTTACTATAAAATTACTACACTTTATATAGAAGTATCATGACTGCAGATGTCCACAGCTACAGAAACTCAGACTATCTCTGTGTATTTTTGAAAATAGTGATTTCTAAATAAAACCTTCCACCAAGAACAAACACATTCATGTAGATGATAGCCAGACTGCACAATAACATTTCTTCAGGCACAGAATATAACATTTAAATGTACAGATTAATTACCTTGTAGATCCTGCTCCAGTATTTTGACTTGACATTATTAGAGATGACTGAGAACTTTTGTAGGCTACACTACCTGTAAGAATCAGATTTATGAAAACAGGACCAAAGTGAATTACCCATTTTCCTTAAGAGACATCTTTGGAAACAAAGATTAGTACTTTAATTGTATGATTTGAGATAAATTCATGGTTGGTTTATTGAAGAGTTAAAAATAGTGCACAATTACAGTAGTCAATGAAAGAGATTAGATGTCACAAAAAAAACATCCTACTGCATCATCCTGCAAATCTTGTTCTGAGTTAAACACACATGTTGGTTTCTTTCACCTTCTTTCATTTATTAGACTATTACTAGACTATCAAGATAGCTGTGCTGAGGTGCTCCAGTTCTTCAGCTAATCCTTTTTTGCCCCACCCACCTCTGAGAAGGAAATTTTCTTTAGTGCCTCATTAAATCCTTGTTTCCACTTGCCCTTCCTTTTGCACGTACATTTTGATTCATTCAGCTTTGTCCACTGCCAAACTTTATGGGCTGGTTCTGAAATGTGCTGAACACATGACTGCTCTACATATAATTTTACTGTCTAATAAATATCTATTTATTTTTAGACACAACAAAAAAAACCCCAGTTAACCTGAGCTCCCTTTATCTTGTTATCCATAAATTTATAGGCAAGCATGTATTTAGGGAGGATCTGAGCACATAAATCACACATAACATAGAAAAAGCAATTTTTCCTCCTTCATTGAAATTGCATTGCAATTGCATTTGTCTTTGTTTCGGGACATTTACACCATGTAAAAACACAGGAGTGCTAAAAGCTCCTTATGTGGCTGGAGATGGATTCTATGAACTGCTGAAGCCAAGTAAAAGCCTGCCTGGGAATGCACTGTTACAGAAATATGTTGAATGTAAAACCAAGAATGAGAGGGACACATGAATAGCAGACCTGCAAAGCATCAGGAATTCTGGGAAACTCCTCACAAACAGTTCTCAAGAGGCTGCACTGATTTTAGTAGGTTGTTACTCATGTCTTATTTGCATCTGAGCTCTGCAACAGCCCAAGAATGAAAGAAAGTACTGGCAGGTAAAAGGTCTTAGACCCAATTACAGTGATAGAGTGAAACAAAGAATCACTTTTCTAAATAAATTCCTGATCTCAACTCAACTACCTTACTTCTGTTATTAAATACTTTTTTAACTTCCATTTAGTTTCCCCCCTTTTCCTCATGTGATTTTTCATATGACATTATGGACAATGTTAATCTCTGTTAACTAGAAACAAATACAATTATGAAGGTTAAAAGAGGGTCAACAATGTACATTGCAAGTATTCCTGTTCTCTTCGACCATACACACTGTTACAGTATTTTCCTTGCAGCTGTTGACTTGGGCAAAAATCCTTTTGGCTACAAGTAATAATTTACAGAACAGAAGAGGTAAGTACTAGGAAGACACTTCATACTTCATTTTAAGCATTTCCCATCTGCTGGACCAATGTCTACTTGGCAAGTTCCTTACCTTAACACAATTCACAAGGTTTTTTCAGTAAATTGCTAATGTACAGATTTTAATTTATTCATCCTTTTAATGTAACAGAAATGTTATTCAGCTGCAAACTTTACTTTTACTCACCCATACGTCCATCCTGTGGTGGAGTTATTACTGATAACCTTGTGGGACCAGATGGTGTCTCGAGCTAAATGAATGGTAAGTCATTAACCACAGTGTAATAAGTACACTAATTATAAAGGCATTTTAAGCAATAGTGTTACAGATTTCTGTAACTCTCCACTATCAGTTTTATTCATATCACTAAAATGCAAAACCTAAGAATTAAGTTACTATTTTTAGAGATCTATGGGCAAGGAGGAAGTACACATATTTTAGTTTTATTCTTATCTGTCACATTCAGATAAGAAACATATCAGACACTCCCATTGTTTCCTATGCTGAGATTCCATTCCTAAGCCAGCATCTGTTCCTGGATGTTCCCTCTCCTAATCGGGACACTAATACAGTGAAAAGCTCCTGCTTTCATTCTCATGTTAGCAACGTCACTCAAAGTTTGCAATTCCCTACTCAAATATCAAAGTTTAACAGTGATTTCAGACCACTGGCTCCACACCTGGCTTTTTCTTACCAAGGGAAGATACTACACACACTTTGATGCCCCTGAGCATAGATAGAAGCAAGATCACATGGTCAAGCAGCAAACAGAACCATTCACAAAAAGTGAAAGATAAAGACTCATTTTATTTTTGGATTAAAAAAAAAACCTTTTATCTATCATAAATGAAGTTTCACAAATGTTTTGAGAGTCACTGTGATGTGAAGTTAAGAGTGCCAAGTGATTCACCTCTTGTAACTCCAGACATCTGCAATGACAGTATTTACATCCTGATCCCCACAAATTCCCTTTATGGTCATGGAAGAGAAACAGGAATGAGGCCAGAAAGCTTCCTTTAGAAAGAGATGAATCACACATATTATAATCCATAGGTTATGCCCATGGGCCTAACCATGGATATAGACCTACCTATGGATATAACTTATCCATAGGTTACAAAGGAAACCCTGAGATGCTAGCACAAATCTGCACTGTAGCCACCCACATGAGGTCTGGTAAAGGTGAAAATCTTACTTATATTTCCATTCCTTAATATGTTAGAACTTTAACTGCAACTCTCAGTTGCATGGATTAGCAACATTTATTTTTTAAACAGATGTATTTTTGTAATACAAACGTACTGAGATTTTAAGAATTTTCCATTTAATTTGGCATCACAAGTTCAGCATATCTGAAACCAGCACGTACATTAGAAATGTTTTGAAGAGGATGGGGGGAGAATCCTATTTTTTGCAGCATTAAAAGAGTAGGACAAATCAAAAGCATGTATGTGTGTTTACATACATATGTAAACATACATTAAAAAAACACTTACTTTTCTCATCGGTGAAGGCACAGGATCAATCTCCATTGACTCCACCCTTGCAAGAAAGGTCAAAATAAGTATGACATTGTAATAAAAATAACGTTTTCATTATAACAACTAAACTTATGTTAGATTCTGATGTTAAATTTGACTAATAATGAAAAAGCATAATGCATAACACATATGAGTATTTAGGACTTATTCCAAAACCCACCAGCAGTAGAAAAATCTATTAATTGATTCTGAGCTTTGATTTAGACATTTACAGAGAAAGTTATTTTATGATCAGCCCTGCTATTCTTGTATTTAAGTCTGAATAAATATGCATATTTATATATTTGTCACTTGTCTACACAACAAGGAGGATTCTGAAATTTTATTTTTTAATGAAAAAGATATTCACAATCATAGGTACAGAAACAGTTTCATTTGAGCAAGCTGTATGTTCATTTTATTTAAAATTAAAATTACATGAGCCTTACTAGAGTTCATCCCATCTAACTTTAGACAACTACAGTGTACATACAGGCAGACAAGTAATTTAGTTTTCTCCTATAGTAAATGGAAAATTTCTCACTAATTAATGTATCTACTAATTAATCTATCTCTCTGGTCTATGTCTATCTATCCATCCATTTAGAAATTCTTTAGAATAAGGTCCACCATGTCTTAGATTTTTTTCCAGTGACTACGAAGACAAACTATACAAGTAACTATTAAGTAGTTGGATAGATAGTAACTATTAAGTAACTTGGATAGATAAGACATTCCTCAGTTCTTTCATATATAAACAGTTTGCAGAAATAAAACACAAAATCAGAAAATATTTTAAACTCATTACAGAAAAAATGACTTTCTGTATAAAACATCAGTTAAGATTTTCGTTGAAAATTAACTAATTTGTACCTACATTTCAGAAGTGGAAGGATGACTAGAATGAAGAGGATATGGAGAATAACCACTCTGTTTTCTTGAAGGAACTGAAGTCATTAAGAAATTTAATATTAGAACATAGCTATATCCAGTGACAGGTGTTCCATAGTTAAGATCTTAACCCAACACTTCTTACTGGAAAATAGATTTCGGCTTGTACTGGAAAAAGGCAGTTGTGCAGTTTTTTCAGGCGGTTTCATACTAGAGGAGAAACAAGAAAAAACAGATATAAATTGAGAGTTGGTTGGATTAGTTTAAGTGCCTAGTTGATCATTGAAGTATAAAATCAAAGCATTTTATCCATCAATAGCTGGTTTTAACACGAAGCAAATTAACTAACTGCCATGAAGCAAATTCAGAATTTATTTGATAAGCTAACTTCTTCTCCAGATCATAATGTTTGTTCCCTAAAGTACTTTGCCATAATGTCTGCAGCACTCACTACATACCCAACAATATCCAAACAGAAGTCAATTTTTACTAGAAATAGAAAAGATGTGAACCATGTTACAAAACCCTGGTAATTTTGTAAAAGGAAAGGTATTATAGTACTTTCCAGGTTGATGCTAGAAAGCCCATTGCAAAATACACAGAATGGTTATGTAACTGCAAATAAAAATTTAAAACTGATTATCTATGTCATAGACTTTACTGAAAGTTCATTTTTAGAATAACCACTGAGTTGAATTTTAAAACAAAAGGATTTCTTCCTGACAGGATTGATTAGTGTGAATAAAATGGTTCTGGTGTCAGAAATCGCTATTCATGTATTTCTGTAAAACTATGTACAAATAGATGAGAAAGGCAAACAAAACACGACTTCTTTATTTTTTTAACAATTAACCTTTCTGTTGGCTGATTACATTTACTTTTGCTGCATTAAACCACTTACCATTGTATCTGTTGTATTTGTTGTGTTGCTTTCTTGAGGGATTCTTCCAGCTTTGCTGCCTGTGAGATAATCATAGATTTAAACAAAATCTATTTGTCGTGATATACAACTTCATTTTCATCCAACTAGTCTTCTAAAGTGTTGAAAGGCTGCTTTCTATTGGTTTTAATCTTAAGACATAATTGCTATTCTAGATTTATTGGAGCTGTTACAGCTGTAATAAACAGTCAGTCTGGAAGAGATATGCTTGGTTTTGGCAGTTACAGACTTAGTTTGATTACCTTCTGTTAAGTGTGCTGGTAATACTGGATAAATGAATACTAAGAAAAGTGCTTAAAAATAGTTTTGTTTTCTTTTTCTTCCTCTTTTCCATATCTGATATAACAGCTAAGTTATGTTTAATATGGAATTATCTGAAAAAGCTACCAATAACTGTATAAAACACCAAATATGACGTTCCCATATTTCTCATTTAAGATTTAAAATGTACTCAGTTCATGGAAGCATCTATTTGTAATAAGCTTAAGTGAAAAGTATCTCCTATTATGTTACAGACACAACCAAAAATATCTCCATTAAAGAATGTTACGAGCTTGCAAAATTGAAGAATATTAAGATCAAAAACATTAGGTCAGTTCCCTATTATGGGTATATTCTACAGTCTTTCATGACACGATCATATCTTATATTTTATGAAGGATGTAAAAATTTACTCAGGAGCCTCAAAACTGCATCTATATTTTATCCTTAATTTCCATTATGTGACCTTAATTCTTCACACTATTCGCATTTTGATTTGAAGGCAAATTATGAATTTGCTTAACTTCTCATTCTTCTCCTCATAACATTATTTTGAGTCCTTTAATAACGTTACCTGATATACCTTTATAAAATCATATCGTTTGTGGGAGATATTATGCTCTTTTTGCAGATGTAAAACTCTGCAGAACAGATTAAAAGCAAAATGTAATTTACCTAAGATCTGTTTTTCAGTATTCTTTTTTCTTTTTCCTAATGAGAGCTGGGTTTGATTAAGAAAGTGGCCAGTACAGATGTCAGGAAGAATGTACACTCTGTAGGACTGGATAATTTTAAGATCAAAATGCCTTAAAGAAGGTGAAGGACTATTTGCTTTTCAGTATTTTGGGGTCCTGGCACAACACAAGGTCTAGACTTGCCAGGAATATGGACACAAGTTCCCACACCACACACTATCACCTGCACACTGGTATCTGCACAACTCCCCAGATCAGCAACAAAGCAACTTTTATGAAGGTCATGAGAGCCTGCTGGTTGACAGTGACAAGGATCACACACTAGAAATAAGGAAGGGGACCATAAACAAGACAGCCAAAGCAGGAGAAAATGGAATTTCCTCATGCAGTACTGCACCCTTCCCAAAGGCCAAGACCCACAGAGTGGAGAGTGGAAGAGGCACTTCTGTCAAAGGGCAGATTTGTCCTTTGTCACCTCCCCAGGCATCACTGCATCTGCCAAACTACTTATACTGTAAAGCATTCTTGCTCCACCCTTTTCCCACCCACCTTCATCTCAAAGCCAGCGGCAGGAGGACTTCCCCAGCTCCTTCAGACTGTCTCCCAGTAGCTCTGGAAGGGGGAGCATTGCTAAGCAACACTCACAGGGAGGGGATGGCTCTATCATTACACAGGGACACTCTTCTCTTCCTTGTTCACCTCAGCCTCACTGAAAAACCATTTCTCCACCAAAACAGCCTCACCAGTGTTACTCACAGCTGCTCGCAGGGTGTTTAAAACAAACAGTCTCTCCTGACCCTGATCCAATGCAAGCAGTTTTAACATACTAACAAATGCATAAAATGGATAAAACAACAAAACCACCCAAAACAGTGTGCTCACTGAAGCAGCAACAAACTATATTTTCAACTGTTCCAGTACTGTCACCTAAGCACCTTCCTTAGGTCAAGCAGCATCCTTGAGTACTTTAAAACCACTGTTAAATTCATGTCTCAACAGTAAATAACTTAGAAACTTACCATCAAAAGGTATCAAAACTCTCTTCTTTGGAGATAACATCTTTATTTATGCTAAATTCTATTAAGAGATTTATTTTACTTTGTCTAAAGGTTTCAGTTTTACCACCTGGAGTCAGCACAAGAGATTAGACGGGGAATGAAATCAGGGTTCCTCCATGGCCTGGTTTTGAAAGCAGAAGGACAGGACCTTGAAAAAAACTACACATTCCACAGTGTTCTAGGACTGATCCCAAAATGCAAAGAAAACAGGGAGGAATGAGCCATAGAGCATTTAAGTTTCCAAGCTGTTCTATCCATGACAACCACACCAGAAGCTGTCCTTACACACAGAATGGCCAACTGATCAGCTATATGGGTTGGCCTCTGTCACTTCACACACCTCCTGATGGGTCGAGTCACCAACACTGCCAAGCAGCTTTCAGGGATACCCCTGTCCATGTCCTTAGACACGAAGGAAACAGCCAACTATTTTATCAAATGTTTAGAAATAGCTGAAAAAGGAAAAACAAACTTCCACTTCACAAAGGAAGAAGCACAGTCACAAACTCAGCACCTGTTCTCCACAGAATAATTAATCCTATCCTTATTCCCACTGAGCTATCCTGAGTTCAGGGTACTAGCCCTCAGTCTTGTTCTCATGTCAAGCTCAAGCTTCTCATGTCCCTAAGTCTTCCTTCCCTCTAGGCTTATCTTCTAGCACCACTTTCTCCCCATCTCTTCCACTTCCCCCTCTGTACAGCGAATTGGTTTCTTCCTTTCCTGTCCTTTGATTCTCCATTTAATCTTGGTCACCCCACAACTAAAATATTTTATTAAATAACAGTAATTACAATTAACGAAGTCCTCACAAAATGTATACAATTAAAAACTAGTATTTATAATGACAGAAATGAGTCAATCCTGATTAATTATTCTAAGCATTCCAATAAAAGATTAATATAGTTTCTAAAAATAAACCAAAGTAACAAGGCAAACATAAGAAAAAGTAAGAAAATCACAATTAGAGTTACCTTTTGTTTGTAGTATGCTAATAAATGCTTACGGTGTTTTTCTTGAAATTCTGAAATCTGAAAACAAGTACAGTTACATTAAGCTTCATATAATTACATTTATATACCTCAGCAAAGAAGTGATGGAAGAGAACTATTCCACAGTATTCAAGGTCTTCTATATTTTAATAAGTAGCTACCATATCTTCTTTCAGTCCTCTCCAAAAAAAAAAAAAAAACCAAAAACATTTTAATTTATTGTCATTGATAAAGTCTCATAAAGTTTATTTAAATCTAATATGACCTACCCTAGAGTTGGTAGATTTATTTCACTGGATTCATATTTTAACACTATGTTCAATAAAAAGGCAAAGACATTAGAAAGGCAGTTTAGCTGCAGTGTTTCTTATTCATTAGTGCTAAGCAAACACATAAAATTAATGCCAACATAAAAAGTAATCTGTCTTACTGGCAATTATAACATGCCTTGTAAAAATATCCTCTTAATTAAAAAATAATTGTTAGACACACTGTCTGGTGATGTGTAAGCACTTCTGGCATCCAAATGAGGATCATAAACCATGACAGGTTAAAAGTAAAAACAGACAAGGCAAGACAAGAGCTTGAGGAACAAATTACCACAGGCAATAACTTCTAATAAATCTTCTCACGTGTTACAAAAGTGCCAGAAAATGTGTAGGAATAGAGACAACCAAGAAGAAACAATCTAAGAATATAAACCCGAAGTGGAGTATCCAACTGAAAAGGTTACTTTTTATTCACTGTGGAAGAGCCTGGGGGTTCCCATTGAATACTCATCAAAGAATCAGAAGTGTCTTCAGAAGAACTGATGGAAGAAAGATCCCCTCAGAAAGTGATGGCTCAGAGCTGCCTCCCCTCACTCAGAAATGTGTTCTTGGGTCTAGGAGGAATCTGTGAATATGTCAATTTAGAGCTCAGTACCAGTCAAAAAGAAAATCAGATCTTAGCAGTGGTTTAAAAAGGTATAGGGGACATCATTATTTCCCTTTAAAAATGCCTATTGCTATATCCTGAGTCTGCTTAACATCTCAGAAAGGATACAGCAAGTCTGGGAATAGTTCAAGATTAATAAGAGGTAAGTAAGAGCTTCAGTAAAAGAATGACCACATGGAAAATGAAGCTTCACAGCTGAAAAAAGACAGTTGAAGAAGGGATGCATTAGCAGTCTGAAACTAATGATTAGCACAGATGGAGTGCACTTTCCTCCAGAATGGGATTCAAGAGTATCAAACGAATCTAGCAGGTTAAAACCTGGAAAAGGAAACCCTTATCACGCAGTGAACAACATGTGCACCTCCCTTCAACAGTATGAGAGAGATGCTAAAATTCAGAAAACAACTTGACAATTATGTGGGGAAAAATATCTGCCACAAGCTTCTGAAAGCAAAGGCACCAACCCCACCTTGAGAAATCCCTGTGCCACAAGCTGTTGAAAGCTGGGAGGCTGTTCTGAAGATGTATCACTGCACACCAACCTTGCTCTCACGCCCTTTCCTAAGCACCCACTGCTGTGACAGGATATTAGATTAGATAAACCTTTGTCCCAACAGAGCACAAACTGCTCTTATGTCTTTTGACACTGAGAGAAATTCTGACCATACCTCAATGCCTTCACTACACTTCAATGAGTTCCCAATAGCTTATCTCAGGCTACAGAAAACCCACCTTAGTATTTTCAGATTGTGTCCTCTATTTCCTTCATTTAATAATTATGGAGATTTATATTTGGATGTGATTGATGTTGTGGTTGCCTGCATTTGTTCAGTTTACAGAATAACTGCTGATCATGCTGTTAAAAAGTGGGTTTGTAAAGAGAGAGGAAGGCTTCACGTTTACCTTGTGTCACCTAGACACCTGAGGAGGAGCCCTGCTGGGGAAAGGGAACAAGCTCAGCTTTGGAGAAGTTTGTGAAGCACAGAGTAGAGTAAACATGAATCCATGATCACCGCTGAAGAAAACAGGTGATCTTCCCTGGGTTACTTTTCTGCAGATCAGGGAACTCACCAAAAGATGAAACTCACAGAAAGATCAAACTTGTTTGCAGCTGGGTTCAGGGAGAATGTACAAGAAGAGACAAAGAAAATGAGGAGGCAATGAGAGTTTGGATGCATTCATTTTACCCACACAGCTCTTAAAGTTCTTGACTGGAAACTAAGCCTGAAGGAAGGAGTCCTACGTGGAGTTTGGGGAAGACAAGGAGGAAATTTACCTTGGAATCATTTAATGCATCTATCTGAACAAAAAGGAGACCTGCTTTGACTTAAAAACAAAAAAATAAAAAGGGAGAGAGAGCACAGTCAGCTCAGAACTGTAGCTCGCTCAGGTTTTCACTGTGTAACTTTTTATTGTTATAATAAGGGCACAATATCTGGGCACGTTTAAGCTTAGGGCAGATCTAATTTTTCATTGCATGGCACTGAAAGTGATTTTACACCATTAAAATAACCAGACTAGTGCTCCTTACAGAGAGTTTAAAAAAATAAGCAGTGACCATAATTTATGCCTTTTTAAGAACTTTGAAACTGTGGAATTAAGGAAGTAAAGATGGTATTGGGCATACATTCATTTTCAAGCATTCACTCATACACTTTTCCCATTCACATAAAAATCAGTAGGAGCTGCTGATTATTTTACAGAGCTAAAAAGTTTAAGGCAGATTCACCTGTGTTATTTCTTTTGAGTATTTATTGCATAACACATCCACTCCCATGAACAGTGCCTGAATATCAGGATTTATCTACAAAGAAAAGAAAGTATGCCAAGGTTAGCATTTTTATTTGCAAGTTATATTAAATAAAGCATTGTCTAAAGTGTTGCTTAAATTGGTTGATGTACACAAACAAAAAACCAGACAAACCATGAGTAGGATAATACAGAAATTGAAAACAAGCCCAATTTTCTCTAATGCCCTTATCAACCATCTGGAAGGGGTTTGTTTAAATATATTACACAGGTATATACTTATTCTAAGACAGTAACAATTTCCAGAGGACATTCAAGGAAGATGTTGTGGCTCCTGGAAGAGGCAATGCCTCCAGACCAACAGCCAGGTTTCTGGCAGCCCCTCTTCAGCCTTTTTGGTTCTCACCATTCCCAGCCACATGGGTGCACCTTATAATCAGTTTTGCTTCAAAGTCCTTTTTCAGAATAGTTCCAATGCTGACTGGGATCCCTCTGTCTCTCCTGCCCACTGGGCAGCACAATGCCATTGTGGAATAAGAAAAGAGCCTTTAAATCATAGCTGAATTTTTCAAGTATTTTATGACTTGAGAGTTTTAATCAGAGATCATGATGTGGCTTCACAAATGGCCTTCTGTGCTTTTAGAAAATTCTCAGTAAGTGCTCTGCACCTAACCCATCACTGTAATAAAGATATAGTTATTATTTATGGTGAGAAAAAAATGCTGCAAAATATAAAGTGAATTTCAGAATGACACTGACATTTGGACATCTATCCAAAACTACAAAGTGGTGTAGATAACTTAAATGTTACTTTAATCCAGAATACATGTGTTCTTAATTAGTTTGTATGAAAACCAAAGAAAATACAACTCTAAAATAGTTACACTAGTTATAGCACTAAGTTAAAATAGTTAAACAGCTTTCAAATGTAATGAATCTAGGAGAAAACAATCTACCTGGAAAGTTCTCTTTGATGTATTGTGATTAAATAATAGAAGGTAGGTTTACAACTAGCCAAAAATTGAATAAAAATCCAAAAACAATGCCAGCATACTCAGATAAAAAAGGAAGGCATCCTTCATGTACAGAATCACCTTTCAAAATCCATTCAAAAAGAACTGAAGATGTTGTAGACAAAAGGTAAATTAATCCCAGAAGCATTAAAGAATCTTGAAAAGCTCAAAAAATAGAAAAATTTCAAAAGATGAATTATTGAAAGAAATAAGAAGCAAGCCACCTGTGAATGAAGCATAAGTTTTCTGGGAGCCTAAGAAACCAGAGATGAGTGCTGTTACTAAAATTAAAAACAGTGCATTGAAATCAAAGAGTTAGGCTTTGCTCCACTTAGAAATGCACAAACATCTAGAGAGATAGAGACAGTATTTTTACCTACACCAAAAATATTTTAACACTGGTATAAAGTCAAAAATCCAAGACTAAATAACAGCTGTATTTGCCAAACCTATTTTCAACGTGTGCTTAAATTATATCTTTTTAATAATAAAGGGAAATTGAGTCTCTAACGTACGAGAAATAATTGTGTGAGGAGCTAAATTAATAAACCTGGATTTGCAATAGATTTGTACCTTCTGTTCTCCATATTCTGACATCAGCTGCTCTGGTGTCCTGTACTCAATTCACCTGGTGCCCTGCACTGTTTCCTCACTGCAGAGCACATCTGATTATTGCTGGGCTGTACCTGCACTCCCCTCACCAGGGCAGAGCAAGGGAAGCTGCTTTGCCTTGCTTTCCCCAGCTGCTCATTTTTACAGAACTCACGGGAGGTAATTAACTGTATTTGAGACTTCCTCTGCTCTTCTGAGTTTGGTTGACAAAAGCCAAAGTGTTCAAAAATTTCCATGGGGTGAAGTGACAGATGGAGAAAGAGAAAAGCAGACAGACAGACAGCACAGTCTAATCTATCCGTGGTATTTAAGTAAAGAAAATACAAACAAGGCGATAAGATTTCATCTAGAAAATTAATATATTCATAAAAGTACATTTAGCATCTTTAAATAAAACATATTCATAAGAGCCAAGCTCTTGCAAACTATTTAGGATTCTGTCAAAGCAATGACCTTGGTTTAAGTACCTATCAGATTTTAAAAAAATAAAACCCAACCAGCTTCATGCTGATGTAAAAACTCTTTAAAACAAAGGTTCCTATAACACTGTTTAAATTTCATCTGTTGCATGGAGGAGTAGCAGATGTTAATATGATATTCTACAATAATGAACAGCGAGATTCTGATTTGCCATAACACTTCACCATCCTCTGGGGAAAAGCAAGTGGGATCACGGGACACACAAGGAAGATATAAAGGTGACAAGAATGCATTCTGGTAAAGATGAGAATATTTAATGTGTAGATGGTGATTGCCCCAACGTACAATTTAATTAGGAGTTCTAACACATTTATAGGACCTCCTCCTCATTGGGAATTCTCCCACAGCATCAAGCTCATAAAGCTTACCAGGTATATTTCCACTCAGGTTCCTGAATTATAGAGCCATGACTTTTTTATATGCATCTTTAATTATCATTCCAATCATTTTATCTGTTCTTAATCAAGGATAAGCAATCATCATTAATGTCTTTTTTAAAGAATATGGTAATTTGCTTCCTTTCAGCCCTCCAGAGCAGTGGCAGCTTCTAATGAAACATCTAATAGTTTTGTTAGTATCCCAATCATTGCATTTTTTTAATTCCTTTGGTATTTTTGAAGTAAATTATTAAGTTCTGTTGAAATACTGCAATTTAAGACTGATCTAACTTTAAAATTAGCATTGTTTTGAGCAACATGTTGGACAAGATGACCTCCAGAGGCACCCAACAACTTAAATTATTGACTGAAATTAATAACAAAACTTGCAAGCCAGAGTAGGTTGAAAATGAAAGCATATTAAAATATGTCTTCTAGAATTTTTAAGAGGGGCTTTTTCATATTTTTTTTTAATATTTGATTACTGTGTGCATTGTTCCCTTGTATTATGATTGCATTTTGTCGTTTTGTTGTAATTTTTTATTTTTGGTATCATTGTCTTCTTCACTCTAATTCAGTTCTGCAAGACTCTGTGTTTAAAAATATGAAATACAGTGCAACAGTTTTTTTACTTTTTTATATACAGCATGTAGGAGTAGAAATTTCTGTATTTAGAGATACATCAGCTCAGTTTTAAACATAACTAAAGAAATCATGCCATTCTTCAAGGTCATCTCTCCAGGGTTAGTCCCAAACTGTCCTCTATTTCCTATACATGACTGCCTTACAGCCTAGGAGGACTTTATGTATTAGCTGTATTGAATTTTAGTGAATATTTTTAGTGTTTTTCCTCTATCCTGGTAAGGCAGGCTCTTGTCTCTTAGGTAGGCATCGGTCTGGGAAAATATAAATGTTTTCACAACCTATTTATGAAATCAGCTAAGGAGAAGACGGTTCCTGGGAGAAAGGGAAAACTTATATATTTCTAATGATTTATCAAGAAAGGGAATTAAAAGCTCTTATTTCTCTAGTGAATAACAAGAATTCCCAACAACATTTCAGATCCTCTCTTAATCACATGGCCATGAGGAAAATCATTAAGCTTAAGAGAAAAAAAACTACTTGAAAACATTGCTGTGCCATCATGCAGATCTTCTATTCAGTCCATTACACAAAATAATTCATTACAGTTCATTTTCTCTGATGTACAAATGCCAAAACCAATAAACATTTTCCCACATTTTGAAAGCAGTCACTGATGTTACACAGTAGTAGCCAGTCACATTTCTTGAAAAGTTTAGAATCATTTACAGTCCAGCAGAACCTGAAAACCTAAAAAGTCTCCTCAGGCTTTAATTTGAAGAAGTACACACAACTAAAAGCTGTCTAGTGCATAAGTATCTAAGACTAATAACATTTTATCAGTAAATATTCATGTCACCGTTGGCAAAAAAAAGGGGAAGCATTTTGTAATGCAAATAATTTAACTGTTCAGCAAACCACAGATTAAAGTCATGCAACAATACCAAAGCTTCATTTACCTGTTTTGAAAGAACTAACGTCTGACAAGCAGTTTTACAGATCAAACATTCATCTTTTTTGCCTGTAAGGTAAAGACACATTTAAAATATACATCAAACTGAGTAGATACTGAATACCTTGTAAATAGAACTCTATGCCTAAACCTTTGTGTGGACCTTGTGGAAGAAATCTGCAGGTTATACGAGAAATGTGAATAAACATGAATAAAGAATTTGATTCTTTAATAACCATTACACAGAGTTGCACAGGGAATATGTGTGTGAATGTCATCGGGTCTTACTCCCACAAATAAGCATTCATGTAAATGATTTTATGAATATCATTAGTGTCACAGAATGCAGGTGACTTTTAGTTCCGTTGATTTAAATAGGACTACTTGCCTGGTTTAATTAAATGTATGCTTAAGTGCACTAATGACTTACAGTCAACCAGATATATGGCTTTTTAGACTGGGGCCCAGTATGGTTCTCTCAATAAAATATATAAGACCTTAACATCAAAGAATTAATAATTTTACCTTGTGAATTCTTCCAGTGAGAAAGTAATTTTAAAAACTTTATCATTTTTAAACTGTGACTTTGATTATCTGCAAACATACTAGAAAATATTTATAGCAAATGCATATTATTACAATATTTATCACCGGTAATTTTACTAGCTACTTCCTTTCTGAGGATTCTGTGGATCAATGTTTATAAACATCGTTTAAGAGTAAATACATTTTAAACCTGGTATTATGATTATTATTGGATTCCCAGCAAAAAGATATATAATCTCTCAGGCATTTTTCTGCCAACCAATATTAAGAGCAGAAAGGAAAGACGCTCAGGTTCTGGGAGCCAGCAAACTGGATTTAGAGGCTGCATTTTACGATCCTCCTCCTTAAAAGCAACCCTGTGAACCAATCTAGTCAAAAGTTTTTAATTCTGAAATAAAGATTCATCATTTCTTCTGTGTGCCCTTAAAAAAAACCCCACAGGACATTTAGCAAGATCTCAAAGGGAAAAACATTGGTATTTGTCTGCTGCTCTTTTCTTTTGAAAAACAACTTCATTATTCCTCTGTCTTTTCCACATATCTTCGTCTGAGCACGTCAAGTTCTGTTGAAATACTGCAATTTAAGACTGATCTCACTTTAAAATTAGCTTTGTTTTGAGCAAGGTGTTGGACAAGATGACATCCAGAGGTCCCTGACAACATATTCATTGACTGAAATTAATAACAAAACTTGCAGCCAGCGTAGGTTGATAACAAATATCACAGAATATGACTCTGGAATTGTCCATGACGGGAGAGCTTCAAAACATCACCTCCAACACTCCCTCACGCAGCTGAAAAGTTTCCAGGAACAATACTGACCTTTAAAACATCTTAGAAATACTTGCAAAGCCTGCACTAAACAAATCCTACGCTGAGTAAATTGCCCATTCTTAGGATGAAAAAGCAACTCCTTTTCCAAATTTGCCAGAAGAGAATGCCTTTGTTTGTTTGTTTAACTACCTTATGAATCATAAGTATCCAGGATAGTTTTATTAAGGCCTCCAGTTTCCCGTGCCCAAGGCTTGCTCTCAAAGCCAGGCTCACCTGGAGGTGGACACTGGCGGGCTTCAGTATTTAAAGAAAATCAATAGCCAGGATTGAAAAGGTTTATCAACAACATTCGACAGACACTTAGGAATGCTCAGGTCCTTCTTTTTTTTCCACAACGAGTCAGAAATACGAAGGATAAGGTGAGAGGGTGTGCACGCCAGCACTGGCCGCTCCAGCAGCCATTACCTTTCTGGAGGCAAATCTCACAGAAAACGTGGCCGCAGCTGGTGAGGCAGAACCGCGGCGTGGGCTTGCGGGGCTCACAGGAGCAGGAGTTGCAGAACACCGGGAGAGCCATGGGCCGGAGGGGCAGGAGGGCCCGGCAGCCAGCTGGGGGCCGGGGCAGAGGAGGACCCTCCTCAGGGTGAGCTCCGCGGGCGCCGCTCCGCCATTACCCGGCCACCTAAGGCGGCCGCGGGTGAGGGGGAACCGCCCGCCCCGCCGCGGGGCCTGAGGGGCGGCAGAGTTCGACCCTCACAAACCCCTCCCCAAAAAAGTTGTGTTTTCCGGCCTCTCGCTACCAAACTGGAGCCACGCAGAGGATCCTCTGCGAGATTCCCCTTCCTTTCCCCAAAGATTTGTACTAAAAGCAATAATCTTACCCTAAAGTCTCAGCATTTTTAATATACAGAAATTTAAAATCTTAGGAAACTCCTTTTTTTTTTTTTTTTTTTTTTTAGATTTCTGTTTTAGATTTAGGTCCCTAAGTGGGACCTACCTAGGAGAAACAGAGCAGCTACTCCTGCCAGCATGAACTCACAGGAATATGACCCAGCTGGCAGCAGGTGAACACTTCTCACAAATCAGTCCCTCCACCTCTCATCTCTCAGCCTACATGCTCAAGGCAAATCTAAAAAGTTCCCTTATAAACATGAGCCTGGGAACAAAAAAATTCATAAATATGGAAAATCAAGGACTCCAGATTAGTTTTATGAGATATTATAAATTCTCTTCTCCCCATTAGCCTTTCCATCTTTTATCTTCTTCCCCACCACCCAGCTCCTGCTTTCCTCCTAGTAACTCTTTTAGCATCTCACATTCGCCTGCTCACAACCCCCTGTGGGTATTCAATCATCCCAATCCTGACTTCAACTTAAAATGCTGCCTCACTACTGAGTCCTTCTTCTAGATTTAGCTTTACATTGGGGGGGCAGGGATTGATAAAAGATGGGATTCAAGGGGTAAAAATGTAAGGGGAAGACAGAGGTTGTGACATAGAGAAACCAGGTTAGAATCCGAGTAGATGAGAGAAGCTAGAGAGTTATATACAGACAATTTTCTCACAGGTGAGGGTTTCTTCAGCTGTTCAATGTTACATGGTGGGCAGTTTTTGAATCTGAGCTTGATTCTCATTGCTTTAAAAGAAGTTGTTTTTCTCACCTCTCACTACCAAAGTGGAGCAGTGCCCATGCAGAGGGTCCTCTGAGAGATTCCCTCTCCCTTTCCCAAACGTAGGGAAGTGACCTGGGATTTCAGTGCTCCAGGCAAGAGCTGCAGCAGGAGCCCCATCCTCCTCATTCCTCCTGGACCAGCAAGTGTGTGGAAAAAGGTTGTGGGTTCCACTCCCTTAAATGCAGGAATCCAGGAAGGTTGTTAATTTGCTGTCACAGCTTTGCTATGGCATCTTTCAAAGAGGAAAAAGAGCAAAACAAGGAGTTTTGATTTTCAGTTCTTAGACAAAAAAACCCCAAAACCCAAACCCATAGTTTGCTAGTTTCCCTTGATGAAATTTTTAGGAAAAAATTCCCTTACAGACCTAGCTGCAGTGCAGGCTGTAGCTCTGGGTATGGCAGAGCCACAAACTGCAGAGGAGGAACCTCTGTCTTTTAATTTCACGAAGGCTACTGCCCCCAAAGTGCTTCCCAAAAGAGTTGCAATTCACCTTCTGCTTTATAGAGTTAATTAAAAATCTTAAAGGAGACTGAAAACATTTCATCAAAGCAAAGATATTTAATGACTATTATTATTATAGATAAAGAATGAAGCACTCTGAAGCTGTATCCAAGGCTCTGAGTCTCAGTGCGAGTTTGAATATAGACCTAATTAATAGAGAGAAATACAATCAGCCCCTTTATAAATTCTGATGTAGTGGCTGTCCTGGTTTAAAAGCCTAAGTGTATTGTGAGATGAGTTAAGTTTGGCATTGGGATGTGGTTAGAAGCCTTACACTAAATATCAGCTAATGTCTGAAACACAAGCTTGTAGCAACACTTTATTAAACTTTTTTCTTGGACTTCATATGCCATATGGTTGTAACATATATTTCCTTCTTTCCCGCCACCAAAGATACTTTTAGAAGACAGATTGTGAATGACTGATGTATGAAAGTAAAGTTAATAAAACTTATTTACTGGTTATTCCAAGTGACAGCTCTAAAGTCTCAAAATTTTTAATGTAGGACACACCTCAGTGAGTAGCTTTACAAGATTTTATTTTGATTGATTTGGTCTGTAGAACATTGCTTTTTGTCTCTACCTTGTATCAATTTTATGGATTCTCACAGCTGTATTTTCATTACTGTACTGGAAATGTAAGTGAACTCATAGGGCAGTGTCATTTCCTTGCTGATGAAAACAACAAGTGAGAAGATAGAAAAAAAGAAAGAAAGCAGCGCCTTTGAAACAGTAATTGTTTACAGATATTCCAGCTTTCACTACCTTTTAGATAAGCAAAGGGTCTGGAAAGAGAAGTAGGAAACCAAACCATAATATTCTACTATCACAGTGCTCTAGAAACTTCTTCAAGTTTCATGTTTTTGTATGTAACTACCTCCAGCTCTTCCTTACACTACTGCTGCTTTGTAAGGCTAATTATCTGGATTTTTAACCAGAGATTTTGACTTCTCATTGTATGATACTGTAGTTACACTGCTAGTTGTACATAAACTAGGTAAATTAAGTTATAAAGATGTATGCAACCAAGCTACAATAAGTGAAATGGAAAATTAAGTCAAAAACTGGTAAGTTCCTTAGGCTGTCATATTACAGTTGCTGAATAATTAAAGTAATAAAAATTCTCAACAGAGACTGAAGAATTTTCTGCAGGAATGAATTAAAACAAAATGTGTAGGCATTGTTTACAAAAAACCCCTGTAATTTGGTTTATTTTGGCATACTTCATAAAGACTATAATTTACATTAGCAACTGTGGGAGATGTCTGATCACAATTCTATAGCCTAATCTGGAAATGAAAAGTAAGTACAACTCCAAATTGCTTGTCTGGGTCTCTCTCTTCCATGATAATTGCTGCCGCCACTGATCAGTTAAAACTTTGAATATTTTGAAAGAAAGCAGTCACAATTACATTTAGGTGTTACCCATATATAGATTGAGTTCAAGACACTCTCACCAAATTAATCACCACAGGGGATATGGGTTATTTCTCTACCTACTGTCTGAATCATGGTCAGTCTGAAGTGCTGAACTCTTTGTGGTAGTACCAAGTAACATCACTAAGCAAGTAGATAAATTTTAAATCCTAGGAAACTTTTTTTTTTTAGGTTTCTATTTTAGATGTAACAATCCTGAGCTGAACTTAAATGCTGCCTTAGTCACTGAATCTTTTTTCTAGATTTAGCTTTACATCTGTATAGGGGAAAAAAACCTGATAAAAAATTGGATTAAAGGAATAAAATGTAAGGGAGCATAAGAGGTTGTGACATAGATGGAGAAAACAGAGTTAGAATCAGAGTAGAAGATGAGAGAATCTTGAGAGTTCTATGCAACCAATTTTCTTTTAGTTACAGGGTTTCTTATGATGTTCAGTGTTACATGATGTGCAATTTCTGAATCTGTGCATTTACTTTACAGAATTTAAACAAGCTTCTTAGCTATAAAGAAATCTCTGAGAGATTTGATTTGCCAGATTCCAACGGAGACGAGGATCAGTGTTTGTACTATAGCCCACCACAAAATATTGCTGTTGGTTTCTTCACTTGTCTTCCGAAATTTTTCTTCACGTTCCTGAAGAATAAAAGAAAAGCATAATTATTACTTTTTGGCATCTACATGTTTCGTGCTTCTGTCCAGGTAACCAGACAGGCATCCCTCTTCTGCGTAGTGGTGAACACTTCTTTTCGTGTTGATAAAAATGGAAGTTTGTATTTATCCATATGATGGGTATCTTTACAAATCAAAACTGAGAAGCAGACACACTGTATCCCCAAGCAGAAAGGCAAACAGAACTTCCCTTATTCACAGAAAATATATTGTGCTAAATATGTTCCATTAGTACAGGCTTTAACCTTTTTAGGTTTGCAGTCACATATTGCTGTCAAGAACCCTTTTGCAGCCAAGTTTCTGTTTTTAGGTAACTAGTCGATATATTTCAAACACAGTCTGACTGCCTGCGTACGAATGGAAAAGTGAAGAGAACGGGTGTTCACTTGTTTGAAGGAGGGCTTTATTTCTAACTGCATGGAGATTTTAAATATACACTCAGTCATTTCCTTCCCCACTCCAATAAAGTTTATGCACATAGGACCAGCATGGAAACAACAGCTGGAGACATCACCCACAGCGGTACCTGCCACCTGCTCAGCTGCTGGGGCTGACTCTGGCCAAGAACACTCTTATTTGGAAAACTCTGCTTTAAAATAACACCTGCTGCTATAAAATAACACCTGTTGCTATAAGCGTGAGTTCTCAGTCATTAATTAGTTTTTAGGTTACTGCTTAAAAATATTTTGCAAGGCAATAGAGACAACTTTGGTTAAATACCAATAGATTTTTATGTGTTAGTTAAAAATAACACTGCAATTGAATAATAAACCTCATAATACTTTATAAATCAATAAGCCTATGTACAATATTTTTCAGCTTTTCCATTAGGGAACATACGTACTCTTTCATAGTCTTGTTCTTTGGATACATGATGAATTTGCTCAATTAGATGTTCTAGTCTGATATTAACTTCATCCACCTTTTCTTTGGCTTGAACAGCAGATTCATCAATAAAATGCTCTCCAACTCTAATGTCCAAATGGATACGCTGAAAACAGAAAATATATGCTCATTTCTGTGTCTTCTGCTTTTTCAAAATTCCTAAATTCAAATTAAAAATGAACCAATGGATAATTTCCCTTTAAGCTCATTACAGGAAAATAGTTTTAATTTCTTATAAAAATCCTTCCTAAAATTAGAATCAGGTGGTAAATTTAAAGTGCTCCTTAATTTTATTTTTAAATTAGTTATACAAATTTACAAACTTCACTAATGTTAGGGCATTATTTTATGGTAGTATTGGTTCAACCACCATGAAAATGTTTTCTTTGTCCAAAATACTTAAAAAAATAGACACCATAAGGCATGGTCATTATATTTCACATTCCATACTAATATTGCAGGAATTACATTCTTCAATAGCACTACAGGAAGTTTTTTGTAGATGCCTTTCTGGGTTTCCTCATGTAA